CGCATGCGGCCCGCGGGCCGCGGGTTGGCCACCCCTGGTCTAAAGTATACATAGGCATTGTATTCTCGAAACCGAGAGAGTCGCACTAAACCAAATATGGAGAGGGCATAGCTAATATAATACGAAACATCGCCTTAATGTTAAAAATGTTGTCACCGCCGTTCTTGGGGGGTGAAAATTCGGAATATTTGAAATTATTCAATTTTCGTGGCTGAAAACATACATAGGTATTGTATTCTCGAAACCGAGACAGTTGCACTAAGCCAAATTTGGAGAGGACATAGCTAATACAATGCGAAACATCGCCTTAAAAATGTTGTCACCGTCGAATACATTTAGTATATAATATGTTTCTTTCGGTTTAGATAACAGTATTTTGATGTCCACTGTATCTTCTACTGTTAAACTGCAATTTTTATATGAGTTTTTATACAAAATATCCTACCTTCTCAAAAAAAAAAAAGAAAAAAATACACTAGCATTAAATTTTCCGCAATCCCTTGTATGTTATATGTCTTTTTCCACCCACAAAATGTTTCATATCCTTTCTCGTGTCACCCTGGGATTTTAAGGAAGTAAACTGAATACGCTTTTTAAAGCATCTTCTGAGTTATTTTTATAAATTATTTTCGTGTGTAAATCTCATTATTTTTATTATTTTAAAAATTCGACTTGCAAAAATGAAGCCGATCTTCCCGCATAATCCTGACCATAACCAGGCTTACCATCGCGGATCGAGGGTCACGCCGCCGCGCGTCCCGCCTTTAGGCGTTTGTCCACGGCCTGCCACGATCGTCCGTCTGACACACTTCGCCGAAGCTGCGGGTGAGTGTCGTGGGGTCGGCCAGAACTAATTGCCGTTGGAGAAAAAAACTTGAAGTACGCGAGCGGTCTTTCCTGTGGGAAAGACTTACCCTGACGAAAAAAATGTTTTTTTCGACAAGTTTGACGGCAAATATGAACGTTCAATTTCGTAACGACAAGGTTATTATCCTCCCAAAGTTACGAGAAAACGCGTTTAAGGGGAAGAATGACAGCATTGACTGCTCGTGTATGGCCAGCCAGAGTCCGTTTATTGTTGTCGGGAGCCTTTCAAAGGGTTCGCGGGTTCTACTGCGGTCTGGCATTTATTTAGCGTATTAGTTGCGGGGTACTAAAATGAATTTCGACCAGGCCTTTGCCGTAAATTACTTCTCCAATTACAGCATAATGGCTCTTGGATAAGGTTGATTATGTTCGCAATCCCGTTTAATTTTTCTCACAGGTATTGGCTGTCAGAGAAAAATAAATATTTGTTCACAAATAGAATTCACGTCTTTTAGGATTTATTTAACCGTATTTAATTTTTTTTCATTAGTGGTACTAATTTTACTAACTAAAATAAAAGGATACCTTCTGGCAGCGCAAAAAATCAACGTAATGAGACATAGACAAATTACTGCGCATAAAATTGTGTTAATATGAACAACTTTCTTGTTATTACCTGATATTAATATCTTGAATAGTAATCATAAAATTTAAATTTGAGCGGAACAACACAAATGTAATAACGTTATTAATATTAATATTAATGTGCTTGATATATGAATATATGTTAATATAATAACTAATAATCAAGTAAACAGTGTTATTAACCTTTCCTTTTAGCAAACCTATCCATTATCTCGTGCAAAAACCACAAATTTGCATAAAATAAGACAGATTTAATACGAGTGTTTGCTAATTTTCTTATTTACTCTTGTTAATTTGTTACTCAAAGTCCAGTAAAAGTCGTAACTCGACCTTTAACAGGTGGAAATAAAAGAACCGAGATGTTTACAAAATAGGGCGTATTTGTAAGGGTCGTTACCAGTGGCGGCTCTTAGCTTACAAACCAGGGAGGGCGGAAAAATTTAAGTACGAAGTATTGAAAAAAAATTAAATATAATTATTCATCATTTTTATTCTTCTGCTTTTTTCCGAAATAAACTTTTCAATTTCTTTTTCATTAAAGTTTGGTACTTCTCGCATACATCATTGATTTTTCAATAGATACTCTTTAAGATTGAGTTTATGAAAACGCCATACTTTTCCGTACTTTCTAAATGAATCGGTATACTTAAAAAATTCTTAACTATAGTTGTTTATTAAATTGCAATCTTTTAGATATTGGGAATATTCGTGGGAAACAGTTGGCAATAACGTCATAGCTACAATAACGTCATAGCTACTATTTTAGGAATCCTCAAAAATTAAATTTTTGGCATTAAGTGGAACCTACCTATTCCTTTTTGACACCATAAGTTAAATTTGTGATCTTTGTTTTTGTTTCTTCATAACAAAGACGAGGCGTTAAGTTCGAAACACTTTGTTGTAAAAAATGTTTTTTCCATTTCTTTATCATTATAAACCATAGAAAATAGATTTCCAGTTTAAAAATCATAGAAAAATTAATAATACCATACAATTTCCTTTTAATGTACTTTTCACAACTTGGCAACAACACATTTTATTTAATTACTTATTGTACCTATCGGGAAACTTAAAATAATAAAAAATTCAAGTAAAGTCTTTACAAACAATTTAAACTTCTTTAATCTTTTAAAAAACCCGCAAGAAGCAATACGTAAATAATAAATGTTTACACCACACCTGAACAAATTAAGGTTTAATAAGGAAAAAAGCCGTGAATACTACTATTTAGCTACTATTTAGTTACGGTCGGACTAAAAAGAGCCCGAACTGCATCGTAAACCATGACCACCGCTGTAAACACTTTACAGATGTACGAGCGAGCTACGCAAAGCCCCCATATTCAGAGAAAAAAAAAATAGATTTTTGAAAAACCGGTTTTATTTTATAAAATATTGTGAAGATTTACAAAAAAATATATCTTGGTTATCACTTCCTTTCTGTTAATCTTTTGGAAAATTTATTAATTTCATTTTGATTTAAAATTAAGAAATATTTTAATAAAACCAATAAAAACATCCTTATTTACACTGCCGCAAAAATGCTAGTAGAAAACTTTAGTGCTTCAGCCACGAAATTTGAATAATCCCAAATATTTCGAATTTTCACAACCAAGAATGGCGGTGACAACATTTTTAAAATTAAGGCGATGTTTCGCATCGTATTAGCTACTATGTCCTATACAAATTTAGTTTCGCACAACTCTCTCGGTTTCGAGAATTCAATACCTATGTATGTTTTCAGCCACGAAATTTGAATAATTCCAAATATTTCGAATTTTCACCCCCAAGAACGGCGATGACAACATTTTTAAAAATATGGCGATGTTTCGCATGGTACTAGCTATGTCCTGTACACATTTAGTTTCGCACAACTCTCTCGGTTTCGAGAATTCAATACCTATGTATGTTTTCAGCCACGAAATTTGAATAATTCCAAATATTTCGAATTTTCACAACCAAGAACGGCGGTGACAACATTTTTAAAATTAAGGCGATGTTTCGCATCGTATTAGCTACTATGTCCTATACAAATTTAGTTTCGTACAACTCTCTCGGTTTCGAGAATTCAATACCTATGTATGTTTTCAGCCACGAAATTTGAATAATTCCAAATATTTCGAATTTTCACCCCCAAGAACGGCGATGACAACATTTTTAAAAATATGGCGATGTTTCGCATGGTACTAGCTATGTCCTGTACACATTTAGTTTCGCACAACTCTCTCGGTTTCGAGAATTCAATACCTATGTATGTTTTCAGCCACGAAATTTGAATAATTCCAAATATTTCGAATTTTCACAACCAAGAACGGCGGTGACAACATTTTTAAAATTAAGGCGATGTTTCGCATCGTATTAGCTACTATGTCCTATACAAATTTAGTTTCGTACAACTCTCTCGGTTTCGAGAATTCAATACCTATGTATGTTTTCAGCCACGAAATTTGAATAATTCCAAATATTTCGAATTTTCACAACCAAGAATGGCGGTGACAACATTTTTAAAATTAAGGCGATGTTTCGCATCGTATTAGCTACTATGTCCTATACAAATTTAGTTTCGCACAACTCTCTCGGTTTCGAGAATTCAATACCTATGTATGTTACTGTGCATACATAATTTGAGGTGTAAATGTGCTTTATTATGGATAAAGATAGATAGTTTATTTTCCAAATAAAGTTTGGAGGGACTTACTAAAATTATACCCACTGTTTAATTCAAGTAAGGAGCCATTTATGTCAAAAACCATGCTGCCAGCCCACAGATTGATTTGTTGTAGATTGAAGTGAAGTGGGAGCGTTTAAAGCATTTATTATAAATTAATTGCGAATTAAATTAATCTTGTAGCATTATTTTCCTTTTATGAATGGGCTCATTATCGTTTAAAACTAGCACGCAGTCTCGATTATAAAAAATTCAATTTGGTCTTACCATATTTGTCCAAACGTAATTCAAAGTGCAAGACATTAAAAAGAAACGAAGATAACAAAGTGTAGATATGTTTCACATGTAATCAGTCTGCTGACTTAAGCATTATGAGAGTACCTATATTATATGAGTGAATAATAATAATTCTGAAGGTGAACTGAACAATCATCACGTTGTGTGGTAGATATAGGGTGTCCCAAGTAATGAATTATACATGGCGTTAAACTTACCAAGATGATCCATAAAGATCTGCGCTATTTATTCTTTCCGTTTTCCTGCGAAGTTTCAAGTTAGACACACATGTAGTTGCCTGTTTGTGGCATTTGAATTTCTCAAAAAATGTCAAAAATTGCTTGCTTTACACAATCGCAAAAACGAACAACCAAACGCACGCATCTGAATCTGCGCAGTGCGCACATACTTGACACATATGTGTCAGGTCGAGAACTTTTTAAACTACCCTCGTATAACAACTTTTTTTTCTAGAATTTCATTTCGTTGGATAATTTCGAACAACGTGTATGTTCCCATTTGGTCAATTTGTACGGTGACCCCTCAGGTGTTTCTGTTAATGCACACGTAACCGGCGTAATATCGTTTTACTTCTTTTGTTACAGGGTAAGGTGGTAATCCGACCCATAGCCTTCAAACCGGCAGCCATGACGCCTTCAGCCAGATTCGGTATCAGCGGAGAGCGATACGGTTCGACGCCCATTCTCACCAGGCCCGGATCAAGATTGACCCTCTATGGAAGTAAGTCTTATCCTGAGAAGTTTTTTTATTCAAACCTGCTTAAAAAAAGTCGATACGACAGCTTTATAGTTATTTAGATACTTTATTAAATATACCTAATGGCATAAAGCGTGAAACTTTTTTCAAATGTTTCTAGTTTTTTCGCGGATGTTTTGAAAAACGTGTTAACAACGTAAGCCAGAATTTCCTTATTTATTAGATAAACCCATCGGGTTTTTTATTTATTGAAACATACAAACCTTTTTGCAAATGTTTGCAAAGTATTTTTTCAGTGAAAGATACAAACCTTTTGCAAATGTTTTTTCGCTGATGCTTTGAAAAACGTGTTGATATAACAAGCGATTATTAGATTCTTTTTCAAATAAGCGATGGTTTTTGGATTATTATTTGGTAAATTTTACATTTTTATTAAACATACGTTGGTCTTTATTATTGATTATATCCAAAAAAACAGGGTTAAAAAGAACTATGACGTTCAAGCAATTTTATATCATGGTTCAGTGTCATTTTAGATGAAAAAACAGCGGAGTTTTATTAAATTAGAGAGTGGAAATTAGAGATAGGGGTGAAAATGCACCCCTTTCAGTTTTTTAATTGTAGCTCGAAAACGAAGCAAATTTTCGCTTTAGTTCATAGGAAAAATTATTTAGAGAATTGAATTTTCCATCGAAATGGCTTATTTAAAAAATTTAAAAGGAAAATTTTATGCAAAAAATCGTAAATAAACAATTTGAAAAAAGCAAAAAATTCAATTTTTTGATTTTTTTTTTTACTTTCTTGCCTCTAGTTTTTTTTGAGTAAAGAGAAAAAAAAGGATAACATTTCCTTAAAAAAAAGAGGTTGTACAGTATTTTTGGATGATACTGATATGGTCGTTCAAACTTAGCTAATTTTTCGATTTTCGTCGCGTTTACCCTTGTTTTATTTTTTGCAAAAGGATCAGTTTATTAAAAAATTTAAAATAAAAATTTAAATAAAAAAATCGATAATAAACAATTTAAAAAAAAGTAAAAAATAACATTTTTTTTACTTTTTTGACTAATTTTTTTTAGTAGAAGTAGGTAAAGAAAATTGCTGTACAAAAAACTAGATGAGATTCCCTTCAAAATAATGCGTTTTCAAAACTGACCGGTCTAACTTAAATATTTTTTAGATTTTCGTCGTTTTTAACATAAATTAGTCAAAAAAGTAAAAAAAAAAATAAAAAATCTTAGATTTTTGCTTTTTTAAAATTGTTTATTAACGATTTTTTGCATAAAATTTCGATTGATTATAAGATTACAAACCTTTTTGTAAATAACAACCTGCTATTATTATATTCATATTTCGAATGAGCGCTTGTTTTTTTACCTATGTTTGTGGAAAAATGTCCATTTGTATTAAATACAATTAAATATATATTTTTTGTTCAATGAAAAAGACAAATATTTTGCAAATGCTTCAAGTATTTTTTTGCTAATGCTTTGAAAAGCGTGTTAACATAGTAAATAAGCCATGTTTTTTCGATTGCATAGCCACACAAAAAAAAAGTTGTGCGTACATTTTTAATGCGACATATGTTATCCGTGGTATTTTTGCCTCCTGAATCCGGTGTCAGAATTGAGCTATCACATCATAGGAATTCCCTAACCTCAAAAAACCGGTCAAAAATAGCAAAAATTCACGAAGTGATAGGAAAAATACAAAAATTTTTTTCTTTATTCAAATGTTCATTTATATAGTTAAGACTTCGCCGAACGTGAAAAAGGTCCTTTTTCTAACCTTAAAAAACGAATCAATAAAGGTCAGAAATCACGAATTCTCAAAAATAACAGATTCGCGCCAAATTTGGTCTGCGGGGGTTTTCTGGGTCGCTGATCACGGATTCGAGGTCAATTTTTATAAAACTCAAAATAGCGGATCCAAGATGGCCGACCAAATTTTCAAAAAATAACTCATTCGCGCTAAATTTGGTATACGGGAGTTTTCGGGATCGTTGATCACGGATTTGGCAAAGTTTACATTTTTATTAAACATACGTTGATACCTATTGGGAATTTCATTCGATGCAAGACACAAACCTTTTTGTAAATCATTTGGAAGTAATTTTTCACTGATATTTTGAAAAATATATTAACAACATTACAAACGGTTGTCTGTCTTTTATCAGTGTGAATGTATGATTGTTTTGTTGTTTATTTTGTAAAATTTCAATTTTTTTATTTTGCAGCTATCGTTTTTGTTTTAGGATTTTTCTGAAATGTCAAAATATCAAAAATTAGTTAAATTAACCCTTACGGGAGAGGGTTCCATTTACAAAATTATTTTGTTTAAATATGACTGTGAAAGAAAATGAGTTTATGAAAAAATAAACATTATTAGTGGTCGAATCATTATAAAGTAGGTTTTATCCTGGGGATTTTTTTTATTCAAACTTGCTTAGAAAAATCTCCCTATGAAAACCTTATAAAATCTATATTTAACATGCCTGAATGGAATTTTTAGTCACTAACACTTTTTCAATATTTCATCACGTTTTTTCGCTTATGTTTTGAATTATGTAACAAAATAAGAGCGATCATTTTTTCTTTTCAAAAGAAAATCTTTCCGTACAGTAAAATTTCACATTCTAAAGAGAATGTAAAGACAGAGTAATCCTTTTACTCTTTTTAGATTTTTTTGCTAGAGAGAATATGATATACAGAGCGTTCTTGATAAAGTTTAATAGTATATTCTACTTCACAAATCAATAAAACAAGTTCGCTTCGCTTTCAATATATAGGATATTGGATTTTAGAAAATATGTAACATTTATTTAAGTAGATATCTCTGAAGATGCTTAACAAATATAAATGAAACTGGTCCACAGATCTTGTGTACCAACTTATATTTAAACAAATGTGATATACGTTTTTAAACTTTAACTTTTAAACACCCTGTATCTCGAAAACAAGACGTTTCGTACACATGTTTACATAAACTTTTTTATTGATTTGTGACGTAGATTCACCATTAAAACTAAGCAAAGTATTTCATTGACACTCTGTATATTTTATTAACACCTACTTGCCCTTTCTTTTTTCTTTTTTTTATATTGCACCAGGATCCAAGTTCTCGAAGTAATTTGACACACATCTTTCACCTTTTAGTAAATAATCCTGGTTTCTTTCATTATTATTTTTAATTAATTTAACTGTATGTAAATAAAAAAAAATGTCAATTACCGATAAAATGTAACAGGTTACTTCTTGTTTGGTTACAATTATTATTTAGTATCAAAACAACTGAATTATAATAGCCAGGTAAATGCGATAAAATTATTTACTCAACCCTCATTTTCCAGGTAACAACGACCTCCACCAGCAAAACGTAAACATAAACAATTATTCCCTGGACCGAAAGCTCCGATCGTCCTGTCCGTCGGCGTCTTCGTCACCGCCTTTGGCCTTAAATTCACTTTCATCTCTTCCTCATAGTCATCAGCTGATCAACTACGACAGTCTGGAGAGCGTCAGAAAGTCGCCTATTTCGAACACGGACCATTCCATTGGGTAAGAGTTTAAATAAGTCTTTAGTACGTATTTAGTATTAAGTTTTTACTGAGAAAGTGATAAATATGAAGATGCCATTTTCCAAGTGCTTACATTTATTAGGAATATACTTATGGAGACTCCAAGTCTAGTTAGTGATATTTTTGTAGTATTAATCAGTGGTTTGCCGTCGCTCGCTTGGTTGACAATGTGCAGTATGGCGATTAGTATGGAGAAGTTATTAGTAACTCGATACTGAGTGTGGATTTTCATTCGCAAATCTGTGAGGCCAGAAATTCTTTGCTTGTACACGCGTCACACGTCACACTTGCCTACAATATGCTACAGTTCCCCCTCCACACGAGGCGGTTAAAATAACGTGATTTAGAAGGAAACTGAGGCCGACTCAAAGTTGCTTATAATTTTACTGTTTCAGTTAGTTCGCGGTTAATGTACGCGCCGCATAGTACGCGGGTAGTGTCTGATGTCAGTGTGAGGGATAATACAAAGGTTTTAAAGATACGGACAAAGCAAGTATCAATTTAAAGTAAACAACTTCCTTACGAAAACGAAGTAATACTAAATTTAACGTAATTTAATAGATATATCAAATACCTACATAGGTAGCTATAGTATGTTTAGAAATGAAAGAGAGTAATAAAAGCTCATTAGGTATGCAAATCGTAAATAAATGTAGTACTGGTGCTTATATTCAATATATTTATATTATGTATTTTCGGTGTAGATGAGGTGTACTTTTAACAAAACTTGGTGCGATCGGACTGTACTAAATTGTAGCAGGTAGCTAAAATTTAATCCCCGACAATCCGTCTTTGTCTATGCCGCTTCAATTTCTCGGTCCATTTCTCTTATAAGTAAACAATATAAAAACAGCATTTCAAAACATGAGGCTACTTTAAGCATCATAACCGGGTTAAGAGGGTTTTTAGTAATTCAAATAAAATTATTCAATATTATTATCAAAATATTTATTTAAATTTAATGAATAGACTTTTATTCCACACAAAAATATATGTATTTTGAAAATTCAAATTATGGTGAGTAAATGTAGTNAGAGACTGTAGAAGTAACAGGAAAAATAGCAGCAGTGAATAAATATAGTCATGTCATCGCACTATTAGAATTTCCAGCCGATTATTTTCAGTGATTTAAAAGTAAATACGGAACTTTTAACATCCTTTTTAATATGAGCTTACCTGCAAAGCAAAATACAGAAATGTGGACTAGACTGGTCCAAAAAATCGACTATTGTTTTTGAAAGATACATCGAGAATATCATTTGGAATGACAAAAAAAAATATCGTGGGACTTTGAGCCCTTAATATTAGTTTTAAAAGATCTATCATCGCTAGTTTCGATTTTTTATTCCTTGCCCTATTTTTGCGTCAAAACTGCCACAAACCATCGAGGTAAAAAATTTATCTACATATATTTTTGAAGGAAATTGAACGCCCTACAAAAAATTTCTATTTGAAAATTTTCGGCAGACGAGCCGTTTCCATGTAATCAAGCCTTGAAAATTGATATGTTTTACAGATTTTCAAAGGAAATTTAATGCTCTACAAAAAAGATCTCTTAACATTTTTGCATAAATTTACTCCTTCACAAGTTACTCACGATTGAAGTTGAAGTAAAAATATTTTTGTTTTTTTTCGTTTTGGACCCAATTTTTTTCACTCAATGGAACAAATTGATATTATACATCATCGACAATTATTATTCTATCAATATAATCACCAAAAATATCCAAAATTCATAATATATTCAAATTCATTCTCGCTCAATAGCTATTTTCTCTACAAAACGAAAAAAACAAAATTTTAGTTTTTACTTCAACTTCAATCGTGAATAACTTTTGATGGAGTAAATTTATGCAAAAATGTTAAAAGACCTCTTTTGTAGAGCATTAAATTTCGTTTGAAAATATGTATTGTTCTTTGTCAGATATTAATTTGTTCGTTATTTACAAAATTCCAAAGTTAAAAAGTCAAATCGAAAAATCATCAATTTTCAAGGCTTGATTACATGGAAACGGCTGGTCTGCCGAAAATTTTCAATCTGACCTTTTTTGTAGGGCATTCAATTTCCTTCAAAAACATGTTTAAATATTTTTTTTACCTCGATGGTTTGACGCAAAGATCAGGAATAAAAAATCGAAACTAGCGATGATAGACCTCTTAAGACTAATATTAAGGCCTCAAACTCCCACGATATTTTTTTTTCGTCACTCTGATTGATATTTTCGATATACATATCTTCCAAAAAAAATAGTTGATTTTTTTGGCCCAGCTTAATGTTTATCAGAACTTTTGGTGTTCCATCCCATCACCATGACAATTTGAAAATCCTATATACACAGGGCATTGAACTATTTTGTTGAAAAAACATCCACTCAACGATCTGAAGTTTACTTTATCAACAATATCACTTTTTGTTTCAGAAACAAGCCCTCCTACCGACTGATCTCCACCTCCGTGGGGGGCAGTCTCATGGACCTCACCCCCTCCCCATCGGATTCCGGCGTTTCAGAACTAGAGGCCGCCCTCAGAGACCGCGACTCGGAGCTCGCCTATCTGCGTCAGACCATGGAGCACAACGAACAGGTCATCTTCAGGGTGTACCAGGAGAAGGAGAAAGTATGGGAACGCGAACTGAAGAGATTAAAAACGGTCCAGGAGAACCGACTAAGAGCCAGCGCCCAAAAAGTGCTCAAGCTGGAGCAGATGCTGATGATGCAGACGTACCAGCTGCAGCAGGACAAGAAGAGGCTGCTGGTGGAAGCCCAGAGGGCCAACATGCAGAGCGAGAGGCTCAAACAGGAGGTGGCGGTGTTGAGGGGCAGGTTGGAGGAGACGGAGTGGGGGTTGTGTCAGAAGACTGGGGAGATTTCGTTGCTGAAGACGCAGCTGAAGGAATGCCAGGTGAGATATTTCACGATAAGTACATAAACAGAAGACAATGTATTATTTCGTTTGTTTCTAGAACGACCAGACCAATAAATGTCAGGAATTGCTGCAAATCCGCACCGACCACCGCGATCTAAGGGAGCAACTGGAAGAAAAGGACAAAGAAATAGAACAGCTCAGAGCCTCACACACCTCAAAGGACAAAGAGGTATCTAACCTTAAAGATGAAATCAAAAAGCTCAAATCTAATTCGTTTTCCCCCACCTACGACTCATTGGACCCAGTTGAGAAAAACATCGAGGACTTATCAGAAACGGAAAGGCTAAGGGCCGAAATTAGGGAGCTTAGGGAAGAACTGTCAGACATGAGCCTGAACGACTACAGCGGCATAGAACCAGGAAGGGTACAAAGAAGCCAGATAATCGCCCAGGAGGACAGCCTAGAGGACCTGGAGATACAAAAACTAAACGGAGAACTCGTCGACGATAACATCTACTCCAACCCGGAAATAGACAAACTGAGACAGGAACTAGAACAGCGGACGAAGCAGTTCGAAAAGGAGAGACTCATCTGGGCGCAAGAGAAAGAAAAAGTGTTGAGGTATCAGAGACAGCTCCAGATGAACTACGTGCAGATGTTCAGACGCACTAGGGTCCTGGAGGCGGAAATCGAAAGCCTCACGATCGAGCTGGAACTGGATAAAACGGGGGTGAAGAAGAAACTAGACTTGTCGCAAACCATCGAGTTATGATCGTGGGTCTGGCGGAGCTCTATGGTATTTTTTCTCATGTAGAATCGCTTCTACATTTGTGGGTTAAAAGTGCTGTATTAATGCTTTTATACAGGGGGTCGCAACCTAGAACTTTTATTACAATTCAGAAAAGATACTGATGGTCCAGAGGCATTGTTTGTAATGCCTGATTTTTCTCTTTAGTTGATGATATTTCGTTCAGAATATTGAGCAAAGTTATCTATAACTTTACAACCAGTTTCACCAGTTTTCTTTCTATTGGCGGATTCGTTGTGGTGTGCTAAAATCAAATTTTAATTACTTAAATTTCAAGTAGAATGACTGAAAGAATTAGGCTGATACAGACGATATGGGAAGTACGCTTTCTATTTTGTTTCGTAAACGCTGTTATCAGTTACATGTATCTCCATCTTGATTACAATATTTCAAAATAAAAAAATATATATTCGTGGATATGTAATATACTTTTTATCTCTCAACTGCAATCTAGTAAGTCGGTAATTACTGCAAATTTAATTATGTCTGGAAATTGTGACAGAGGAATTAAGGCTCACAGAAATAGGAACATTAAAAGTAGTTCACGTTATTTCCTCTATTACAAATTTTGATTAATGTTCAGCCAATCTCTAAAAAAATAAAATGTGGCAATCAGCCAAGATTAAATATCGTACCGAATTTCCGTTATTTAACACAATTTTTTTACAACTTTGACATATCACAATAATAAACAACCTAACCTTAAAAAAACTCCCCGCGCGCGCCGTTCTTGATAGCCTCAATGATTTGGGACCGAGGGGCTATCCCTCTTTGTCCTGCCTCATCGCTGTGGACCTTGACAGCTTCGTGAAGGTGGGTCCCATCCGTCGTCGACCCCAACTACAAATGTAGCCGATGTAGACGCTTTGTGGGACCTCCTCTTGTCCTGTCTGACACCCGTCTTCTGGCGCGTTGTTTCTCGAAATTTCCATGGGTTTCTAAGAACCTTAGAGCACATACTACGTGGAATAAGCACATCGTGTTAAAAAGTGTAAACGCTGTAGAGAGAAAGGGACGATGGTTTGGATATTCGCTCTCTCTTTCTCTCAATTTTATTTGAATATCCCGAGAATAAACAAACAAAATCCATCACAACTTTTGTTTGCTTTTTCAGAGGTTAAGAAGTGCCTTTTCTGCTAGAGAGCTTAGGGAGTTGCGTTAGCCAATCACGTGCCAGCGAGAGAGAGAGATAGTACCCAACATATCCCCTTCTCTTTCTCTTTGACACAATTCTAAAACATGATAGAAAGAAACAGAACATATTCTTGGAACGTCATGAAACAAATGAGTAAACAGATGTGTAAGCAAAGCACACTAGGCGAATTTCGCTAAAATATTACGAAATAAGTATTTTTAAAAAAGTTTAAGTAGAAAAGAGTCAGTACAGTACGATCTTATTTTCCTTTGAACGTTGTACAATTGAAATGATCAACAATTTATGAGACCCCTTGTAAATTACGATGATTATTTAAATATAGTTACATTTTAGGTTACTTGGCAGCGACCTTAGAGATTGCTGCAGTTTAGGTTAATGGACCATGTTTTCTTAAGTTTTCATGTGATTTTTTTTCTCATTATTAATTTATTACCTTTACATTGTACATAACTATTACTCCACCACGATTAACATTTTACCATTATTTTTCCCATATGACGTATTTTTAGTGTTTGTTACTTTTTGTATATAAAATATACACAGAATAAACGTTATTTAAAATATCAGTGTTTTTTTTTAGACTTAAGGTCCGCGAGTAAATCGTACATTCCAGGACCGTACCGTGTTTTAACACGACGTGATGTAAAATAGATATATTTGCAGAAGGAAAATTTTGGGATACGGGGCAGATATGGACAAAACTAGAAGGTTTGATATAAGAACAAAATGCCATCACATATTAAATCCGTACATTTATTGTTCTTTAACTGACATGACGTGACGTAATGCAGTGTCCACAAAATAGATTGGAATGGTGCAATTAATTTATTGCAAATGTGAACACATTTAAAAAATTCAAAAAACAACATTGATTTCGTGGCAAAATTTGGTACAAATAAAACCACCCTTTGCAAATAACGGTGACATAAATACACATTTCACTTCCCCTCTTCTAATCCTTCACAGTAACTTGAAGGGCACAATTTATGTAAGAGCTCTGCTGAAGAATTCAATTCTTTTTCATCAAATTCATATCAAAACTGAAAACTTTTAAAATCTTGGCCTAGGATACAAGCTGGCGACGTTCTTGTTGCCAGCGCCTTCCTTACCTTTAGGAAATCCCGCCTCCTTAGGAAAAGTCGTCTTACTTTGATGGTGGTGATGCGAGGCTTCCTGGACGTCGATTATCTTAGATCCTTTCCTGTACTTGTACCACCAGTATTCGAAGGCCAATGTTATACAAGCCAGGCCGATGCCCACGAAGATGACTATGAACACTCCGCCGATGTTCTGAATGCTGATGCCGTCCGATTGGTCGTCGGCTTTCTGGCAGTCCTTCTTCTCCGGGTTCTTGTTCCACCACTTCTCCTTGAGGCGTTCCAATTCGCGCCGATTCAGCAACTGCAATATCCTACAAAAAGATATGTCTAATATTAATAGCATTGTTTACAAACAACTAGAAAAAATAAGAAAATTCAAGATTCTGACTGGCGTTTGTCATAAATACGTTCTGCGGTCGCAACATTTTGTCAACATTCACCGTAAACCAATAGCATGTCTAGTCTATTTGTTTGGACTTCAATTGGACTTCTACGCTCGAATAGACAAGTACTTACGCGGTATTGAACTGGTCCTTCAGGGGCGACCCCTGTTGCACCGCTATGGCGTAGGGCTTCCTAGAGAACTCCTCCCCGACTACGGTCAAGTCGCAGTTGGTAGCTTCCAGGTATCTTATGTCGGTGGCGTCGCCCAAGAAAGCGAAGCCTTCGCTGGAAGACTTCGAGTCTCTCACTTTCTTCACGGCCTCGTCTAGGGTATTCGGTAGGCCGGCCTCCTTCATGGCCTGCCACATTTTCGTGTATTTGTCGCTGACTGGGTAGTCCCAGACGGCTAACTTTGCCCGCTCCACTTCTGAGAGGCTGTCGTTGAGACTCATGTCTTTCCATATTCTTGAAAAATCGTTAAGAAATAAACTATCCTCCATAGCAGTACATAAAAAAAGGATAACATACAATTACAGGGCTTTATGATCGTTTCAAATATTGGACGTGAAACACAATTTTAAGTGTTTTAGACTGAATAAATCTTAAAAGAAAATCCGTCCATCATCCGTCTCGTCGATTTCGGCTACAAAACAAAAGAACAAAATTAAATTATGAATTGTTCCGAACGCTTACGAAGAGTAATGGAGGCTAGCCTCCGCTCTTCTGTCAAAACTCCTTATTGCCGCCTCTGAAAAGCCGCTACTGCCAGTTGACTTTGCACCTGGTATGATATGATGAGATGGTAAACGGTAAAAAACAAACGACCACGTTAATCCGGCGAGATTGGAATGGTCGAATACGTCATCACCACTTTATTCTGTTACATTTTTATGTTAGTTTTTGTAGTAATTTGTGTTGTGTAAGTGTATAACCTTAAGTTAATTATTTCAGTGTTTCATGACGGTACAGTGTATCTTTGTACCTTCCTTTTCAAGTTCTTCTGTGATATTATGAAAAAGCATGTGCAAGAATCAAGAAACAGTTGATATGGTTAAAGGGTACTTCTTGTCAGGAGAAAACGATGCTATTGCAAGAATACGATATCAGATGGAACATCAGGATCTATAAGTACCAAATAAGAAAATGTTTCAACATCTAAGGAGCTTTGGATGCCAATACGCTCAGAGAGTTAGAAACTTAGAATCGGAAATTTTAAACGACGTGGAAGAGGATCCTGGTGCCAGTACTCGAAGATTAACCACAAAACTTCAAGTATGTCATATGCTGTGAAAATCAGTTGAATAAACAGATTATTTTCTTATTTTTAATAAAAAATAAAATAATTGGTTAAATACTGTGTTTCTGGTCAACTCATGTATCAGCCTGTGTGGGAATTTCACTTACTCGTAAAATCTGGCCTCGATATTGGCCATCCTTTCGAAATACACCTGAGTGGATGATCCGTTAAGGGGCGCATACTGGATCTTGTACTGTTTAGAAAGGTCGTCCAGGGACTCTATGGGTGTGTCCAATCGAGAAACCGTCAAGAACGCGGCGAGGTTAGCCGTGTACGAAGCGATAATGATGAACCCAAACAGCCACCAAGTAGCAGCTACCAGTCGTCCCGATAAGTTTTTTGGAGCTTCGCCACCACCTTGAGGTGTTAAAGATGTCATGCAGAACCAGAGGCACTCCTTCAAGTTGAATTCCCGTTTCTCTTCGTCGTCCTTGTACTTTTCTCGGTTGTTCTGGTAGCTGTAGGGAGACCAGCGGTCGAAGACCCACATCAAGAAACTGAAAAAAAAGTAAAAGGATTTACACGTGCTGCGTATGACTTTTTAGGAAGTAATTGCAAAATATGGCATTACCTTGTGAAAAAATACGCCGCCAGAATACAAAGCCACACTTCGTTCTCCAAAACCGTTAGGAACTTGAAGAGGCTAGTAGGAGTCTCCGGCAACTTCATCAGGATGGTGATACCGACGAGGTCGTAGTACGGCACAGTGAAATCGATCACGTTCTCCCTCTCTGCCATCACGGACATGGAACCTAGACCGATGTCGGCTTTCTTCTCCATCAGTTCCTTCACCAGACCGTCCCACTTGCCGCTTTCGTCCATGGTGCCGAAATGGTCGACGGCGACGATCTCGTAATCGAATTTCAGTATGTCCGCTATCTTCTCGATCAGGTCGATGCAGTAACCGTTGTATTTCTTGGGAGCAGTTTCGTCTTTGAAAATAAACGGCTTTTGCTGTAAAATAGAATCCTTTACTTAATAGTTCAGTGAAAAAATTTTCGAAGGTTATACTAGAATTCAATGTTGGATGAGGCATATAATCCGCAGAGTAGTTGTTTCCTGTGATATCAACAATTATGTGAGTGTACAAGAAAATTTTACATTGTAGCACGAAACATGCATTGCAAAAAACCTAACCTTCAAAGATCAAGTGACAGCTGTCATAAAGTATCATTGTTGGAGATAGTAACTGGCGACATTCTAGCAGGTGGTCAAAAACTATCGTATTTAGCACCCTCTAAAACTTACTTGTACCAAATTTCAATGAAACACATTATTTATTAGGAAAGTCATGGCTAAAATAAATTCCTTTTTCTTAAAAAAAAGGACGTTGACCAATACTATAAACGGCAGGACGATAAATATATTCCAAGAGTGGGCGCTTCAAACTTGTTTTTCACATGGACGCCCTAATGATAGCAAGGAGTATATTTATTGAATTATTTATATAATATATATACACAAAATATATATTACATTGTACTGGCAGATCAAGAGTTTTATTACCAAAACTACTTACTACGACAGTCACAACTCTGTACACGACGTCGGCCGTCATATTTGCCATAACCTGCGGCTCCACTAAAGTCAGGTTGTTGTCGAATCCAGCTGTCCACGAGCCCAAAGTCGTGGATTTGTCGGACGCTCCTTCTCTAACTCCCACAGCGCTGATCTGCATCTGAAACTCCATAAAGCTCTGTCCGTTGGAGGACACGGATATGGGGCCGTAGGTCGGTGTCTCTGTACTGTCCTGAAATATAGAAGTTGAAGTTCGTTCAACGAAACCAAATAAAAAAAGTGCATGCGTTACTATTCTTGCTTATCGAAACATAGACTTTTATATAGGGTGTCCTAAAAACATAAAATCGTAAAAATAGCGTAATCTGTTTGATATTAGGTTAACCTTAGGTTGACCTTGAAATTTGCGGTGAAAGTCAAATCCAATACTGAATGAAGTTAAGTTAAAATCCATCCAAGAACATTAGAAAAAATAAAATTTACTTCTTACCTTGCTCAGATACTGTCTAAGATTCAAATTCATCCTTTTGGGACTGTTTTTGCCATCATAATCGTCGCATGAAATATAGTTTGTTACGTTGTTCTTTTTCCAAGCGCCATCCGATATCATTTCCCTGAGAAATTATTCATTCCATTACTTATTAGACGAAGTAGCAGTTATACTGATTGAGAGCGAAAAAGATACAAAATATTGGAAAAAGTCAATATTTCTTCAGGTTCAAATGCTCAAAAATGTATATTTTACTTTAGGAAAAGTGTTATTACTGTATAAATAAATCTTTTTAAATTTATTAAATGTTATTTTCCTTCCCTTTGCATCGCATTTTGCCCTCTTCGAAAGATTAACAATATATGAAAGTAGACTCACTTGATCGACAGGAAAGAACGCAGAGCCAAGTCAAGATAGAAAGCTGCAGTAATTATAGGTTCAGCATTTAATTGATAAGTCCTTTGCATGGTTCCCAATCTATCTTGGAACGCCGTGTTAGGAGAAGGCTTGACGAATATAATAGAAGCATTTTTGCAGTTGCATTTGAATTCCCCATCGTCCTGAGTGATGGCGTGCCAGGCGAACTTCCTGTTGAAAAAACTGATTTCGTTCGCCGCGTTAAGGACAGTTCCAATGTTGATGACGCTGCCCAGGACGAAGAAATTGACGATGTCTAGTTTTCTCAGTTGAACGAGTTGGTCTTCTATTACTTTCTGCTCTCCGTTTCCTCTTATAGGTGTGATCACATGTCTGGTGGCTACATTCTGAAGGAGGGACTTGTATTTGTGATCCATTACTGAAATTGGACAGAAAAACTCATGATGTGCTACCTAGTGTGCTACTTTCTTTAATAGCTCATCTAATTTTTTTAAGTAAGTTCTAGAATCGATTAATAACAAAGGCAAGAATATCAAGGCCAAGGAAACAGTTGAAACTTTTACACCTCCAAATCATTTTTTTTTTCTACTTACCAAATGAATTATCGAACAAAATAGCAGCGTTAGTGATGTTCTGGTTCAGAACAATGGCCCTTACGATCTCAGGGATAATATCGGCCGGCGGACAGATTTGGATCAAGTATTCCTTCTCGTTCTCGTCGATGTTCCTCCATTGCCGCAAGTCACCGTCTTGGCCAAAGGAGGCACTGACTGTAGGAATGGCTAGTGCTGATGTGAACGATTTTACCGTTTCGGATCCGATCCCTGTCATGGTTGTATCGAGGACTAAGTGAGGGAATGCTTGAGTTTCCAACATCGTCTGGTATGTTGAACACACTAAGGATAAAATTTATCTTACACGAGCAGATACAGATAAACTGGACAATTTGAAAGTGACCATAGTCATGATATGCTTAAGACTGGCGTTTTATAGACAAGAAATCGTACTTTTAGTAAGGCAACGACTGAACATTTTAATCCAACAATTTCTTTGAGTGAAGTGACTATCACTTTTTTTTATATAAATTGCTTACGTGATTCCAAAAGTGTATTGGAATCTGTCCTATTCCCAACAACTCGTTTGAGGTCCACGCTAATACCCAGCTTGTTATTTTTCTTTATGTACGTCATGGCTACCTCGATGGCTCTATCAGCTACTTCGTTACCTTCTTCATTCACGTACACTGCAAGAAATAGTTTAGGAGTTAGTTTTATGACAGTAACTTGGCACTACAATAATTGTTATGAGCCAAATTAATGGCCTATATCGCCAATTATTACTGGAAATGAGATATAAAATTAAAGAACATATTGAATTGAAAACTGGTACTTACAGACGTTGATGTTCTGCGTAGTCTGCTCATGGCTAAGATGCAGCATCGCCAAGAGATGATAGAAAACCAAAAAGATCATTTTAAATCACCCCTTCTTTATGACTCGTCGAACTGATAAAACTACATGGAAAATTATCAATCGACCGACTTAGCAGCACATACGAGAAGCTAACTGGTGGATAACTACTATTGTTGCCAGGAGAATGCTACGATGTACACATATGTACAGCATATTAATGTTTCAATATTTGTGGAGTATTAATAAAAAAGCAATAATCGTAACCACAGACAAGGGTGTTAGCGGTGGGTTGTCGTATTGGAAAACGTTTTACACAGTGATACAAACAACTTGTTTACTATTTTGAATTGAAAAATCGGTGGTGTGTAAATGAATTCAAGTAAATTATGATTCGGTTAACTAAAGCCTGCTTACTGTCATTTCAAAAGTAATTAGCAAAGCATTTAACAGTTACTTCAGAATTGTTTATTATATTGTTCAGTTGGATATTTTCCCGCTCGTCAGTAATATAATAACGACAAAACTCTGACTGTGTGTTGCATATAAATTATGTTAAGGATAAATATGTTGTGTAGAAGATTAGAAGATTAATAGTATCATTGTATAAGTAAATATTTACTTATACAATGATAGTATGCATATGAAAGAGTACCTATGTGTAGTGCCTATAGTTTTCATACGTTATCAACTTTGGCTCATATTTTTTGTTTTATATTTAAAAAGTTAAAAGTAAAAAGCGAGAGATGGTAAGTCTGCCCGGTATACCTGTAGATATCTTGTTTTTTTTACGTAGGTAACTATAAATATGAAGGGAAAGTTTAAGGACAAAGTTAATAATTGGATATAGCTAAGTGCACATAATTATGGCAAATAAAACACTTATTGGTGTCACTTGTAGTAAAAAAGATATTTGCTGGTACATATTGTCATAAAACTCGTCAACCTAGAATGACGATTGATAAAAACTTTTCCTAGGGTAAAAATTGTACTATAGGTGCCGCATGCCGTAATAAGAAAAGGTCTTACTACAGCAAAATATTTATTGACATTATCGTTAGCTTTCTGGATTTCTTTTTATGGCTGAATTATTTTCCTCAGTGTGATTGCATTTACGGAAAAAACTTAAGGGCAAATATTAATTTAAAAAATAACTCCGTTAATATTGAATTTTCGTGTGTATAATTGTTTTTATAGGAAATATATTTCGGACACGTTATATTTTTAATGTTATTTGCTAGGTACACGAGCACTAATAGCAGTTTGGAAGTTCCGGTACCTGTAAACCGTCCAAACGGTTTTCTTACTTTTAATTAATTGAAAATCTAACACAAAAGCAAACAAAAAAAGCTTGTATGTGTATCAGCACGATTTATGGATTTCAGTGACAGCTGTTAATCGTTGAAGAATTTCCGAGCAGGCTGCGACATATTGACAAATAAAACCAGGGGCGTCGCCAGGGGAAGGGGGGCAGGAGGGGGGGGAATTCGAAAAAAGCACAAAAATTTTCTTAAGCTAAGAAAATATTAGATTGGAAATTTTTAATAAAATATTTTATTTACTTAAACGTTAATTTTGAAAATTAATACACTACTTTATTAAAAAAAAAAGCATTGTAATAAATTAGTATATTTGTTGACAAAAGAATTTAAAAATATAAAATTATATGTTAAAAAGTAATAAGTTTATTTCCATATTTTAAAAATTTAGCTCTGGAATTTTAAATTAAAAAAATATTTTTTTTTCTATCAGAATAAGAATAAAATTTTAAGAGTGCAACTACAGCTATATGTATATGTAACGCACCAATTATATATAGGGGGAATGAAAAACGTTTTTAATTTTATAGGTTTACCCATCATATAGTTTTAAGAAATTTATATATTTTCAATAATATAAATCTAACAATATTCTTAACTTTATAGCTTTAAACCTGAATTGTGAGGGTTATTATTCGATCCTCTAGCAATGATGAGTATACACGGAAAGATTAATTTTGACAACCATGAAGATTTTATTAATTTTTTTAAATCTGAGACCTAATTTTCGTTAAAATTCTTTATTTTTTTAGTTATTTATATTTTTTTTATGTTTTCCTTGTATTAAAAAGGTCTTATTAAAAATATTTCTAAGAAAATGAATTTACTGTACCTCTTTCTACCTATAATTTATACTTCTCCCATCGTATCTCTTAATTATTGCTACATTTCGACACTTCGGTGCGTAAATAAGGCGTAGGGGTAACCGAGGCTCTGGGGTATGCATTGTGAATCCTAGCTGACTTTGTTCGACGGTTTATCTAACGCATTAATAAGGAATATTACATCCAAAATTGTTTAAAAATATCTCGCTCCAACAATATACAGTGTGTTCAAAACGTTTGGAACCCCCCCGTCTATCTCAGAAAATGCTGCTCAATCAAAAAAATGATTAGGACAAAAGTTGCAGGGTTTTGAGTGAGCAATCCAACGGTGACCTTGGCATGACCTTGAAGGTCGTTTAGAGGTCAAGTTGAAAATTTCATATGGAACCGTATACTTTTGACGTCGCACATGGAAAAAATGTAAATATTTACGTTCGGATATGACCTTGACCTTCAAGGTCATTTAGAGGTCAAGTTGAAAATTTTGAGGTCATGATCAAGGTCACATCCGAACGTAAAATTTTTTGCTTTTAATTTCCGGGATCATAAGTATACGGTTCCAATTAAAATTTTCAACTCGACCTCTAAATGACCTTGAAGGTCATGGTCGAGGTCATATCTGAACGTAAAAATTTCCATTTTTCCATTTCGGGGGTCAAAAGTATACGGTTCCATTTAAAATTTTCAACTTGACCTCTAAATAACCATCAAGGTCATGGCCAAGGTCATCTTCAAGGTCACCGTTGGATTGCTCACTCAAAACCCTGCAACTTTTGTCTGTCACTTTTGTTGTTTGAGCGGTATTTTCTGAGAAAGAGGGGGGCTTCAAACTTTTTGAACACCCGGTATATCAAAATAAAAAATATATTAATTTACACTGATGAAGCAGTAATAAAATGAGTTTGTAGAGCAATTTTGTTGAACTGGAGATCCCGTCAGTGTAAAGGTCAACCAAACAAAATTTACTCTTACAGATGCCATACAAGATATTTTTATTACATCTTATTTATTTATTTATTTATTTATTTATTTATTTATTCATTTATTTATTTGCTATTAAATCAATATTTATCAACTTATAAACCACCTATATTTTAAAAAAGCTGTAATCAGCAGGCTGAAATAAAAAATTAAAACAAAAGTAAGTTAAATAATGACTTTATTCATGTGTAATGTATGATGAGTACATAAAAAGTTTGACGGTTAATTTCCTCAACGATGCAGTGTAAAAGTTATACAAAAAGCCTAAAGAACAACCTACAAAAGATACATTAACAGTGTCCCCTGTCCTCGGTCCTCCTCCTCGGTGCCGCCTTAATAATATTATCGACACGAAGGATCATCTCGGCCGCTTCAGCCGCAGAAAGCAGCACCTGCCTCTTCACCACGAAAGACTCCGTAATACCCAACGTCTTCATGTCTCCTAGTTCGCCTCGCTCCATATTGAGACCCATACTAGCTCTGCCGCTATTGTGAGCGGCTTTCAACTCGCTCACCAACTGAGCGGAATCGTACCCGGCGTTATCGGCGATAATTGTAGGCAGTTGCAGCAAAGCTCTAGCGAATGCCTCCATTGCGACAGCCTCTTTCCCGGGAGTCTTAGCGGCTAATTTTTGCACCGCTACAGCCATCAAAGTCTCGCTGCATCCTCCCCCGTAAACGATGCGACTTTCCTTCACCGTAGCCGTTAACACACACAAGGCGTCGTGCAGGGAGCGTTCGGCTTCCTCGATAATTTGGTGTGTGGCGCCTCGAATTATAATCGTGCAGGCCTCTCCAAGAGCCACACCGCTGAAACGCAGCAATATGTCTTCGCCGATCATGATCTGTTCGATCACATCGCAAGTGCCCAGTTTGACGAGTTCGGGGTGGTCGAACGTTGAGACTATTTCTCCTCCAGTGACGAGTGCCAATCGCTCGATTCCGTCAAAGTCGGCGTGCTCGATGGCCATGATGCCGGCATCGGAGAATAACTGTTCCGGGTAGTTGTAAATGAGTTGCCTGTTGATGAAAACGTTGGCGTTATGTTTCAAGATCTTGTTGACCTTGTCCTTCATTTTCTCCTTCTCGGCGGATTCCAGTTCCGCTATCTTTGCCATCGAGTCAACTTTGATGTGAGATCCAAATACTTTTATTTTATCGGTGTCCATGGGGGTGTTGGCGATGAGGATCTTCGCGTTCTCTACTCTTTTCGGTTGATGGACTCCCGGTTTCTTATCTAGGAGGAATCCTTCGTCTAAGAAGGAGTCCTCCAATGTCCCGCCGGTCTTTTTTATGATCTGTATGGCTTGTAGGTCTCCGGAACCTTTTAGTCTTAGCACCGCATCGACCGCTAACTTGGCAAAATGTTCTTTGTGCTGCGAGAGAATCTTCGAGCTTAGCGTGGTCCTGGCTATGTTCATGAGATCTTCACGGAATTTTTCTGCATTAGCGCTATTGTCGGTCGATGTGTCTAGGAGAGCTTTTCTCGCCGCATCAACGGCTTTCCTCCAGCCAGCGATTATAGTCTGGGGGTGAATTTTCTGTTCAATTAACCTCTCTGCTTCTTTTAACAGCTCAGAAGCTGCAACAAATACGTTTTTTGTTAATAAATTTGTCAAATATATGTTTTTTAACGCTACACATTTTACACATTTTCAATTGATTCAACCTATTTTGATGTTCAGGTGAAATAGCATTTAAAATGGGTGGGCAAGTCTGCCCATAAATTAAACTTCATTTTTTGAAATTGGAATTAAATCTAACAACTAACAAAGTTATGACGCTATTAGTATTAAGTAGGACACACTGTATGAATTCTTATCTTTAATACCTGGCTTAAAATCAGAAAATTAATAATTTTTTGTAATCATGGTAGTATAATGACTTGTCAAGTTCTTACCTAAAACAGTAACTGAAGTTGTCCCATCCCCGACTTCGTCATCTTGTACTTTTGACATATCCACAAGGATTTTAGCGGCAGGGTTATCTACGCCGACTGATTTTAATATGGTAGCCCCATCATTTGTAACTTCAACTTGCCCCGCATTTCTACCGCTAGACACTAATATTTTGTCCATTCCCTTTGGCCCCAATGTGCTTTTTACTAAATCCCCGATGGCTATTGCCCCCACGAAGCTGCTCAACCTTGCAATTTCACCTTTCTCCTCTTCAGCCTCTTGTTTGAGAATCCTAACGGGGTTTAAGGAAACCTAAAAGGGGAAAAGAACGTGTTTTATACATTTTTTTCCAAAAAAGCACGTGGGTTTGCCGGTGGTGGTACGCCGAGCATGACACACCTGGTTTTTATTTAATAAAATTAAGCTTAATTTGACTAATCTAGGTTATTTCATTGAATAAACGTTTTGAGCGGATATTAAAACATTATATTTTTCTCAACTTACCATTTTTATATTCTTTATTTATAAGTATTTCTGACTAAAAAAGTTCTAGAACACCAAACTCTGTCAAATTACAACGATGAACCAATGAACACTAACAAAAACTGGAAAGTGGAAACACAACAGAATTACAGAATTAGTAGTTCAATGATATTAGAAAAGGATCGAATATGCGAACACTATGCATCTCCTTTTTTTAAGATAAGAGAAATTTAATAATAAGTAATAAACCAGATCTTGTTTATGTTAAATACAGGAACAAACTTAATGCCTATTATAGTATATTATATTCTCGAGCAGTTCAATTATAATTTTAATACAGATTTCTTGGCTTCTGTTTTCGCGCATCATTTATTCTGAATGCTGATTGGTCAGCTACACTGAAATTAAAGCTGATGCAGATTATTAAGCAAAAAATCTTTTATTAATTTAATTATATTACAATGCTAAAATTCTTGTCTAAAATCAATAATATGTTCAACAATTTAATTATTTTAATTAACTGTATAGGCAACCACATATTCACTGACTGTAATTTATTGTTGCATAGATAGATTCAAGTATATATTTGAAAAATGTGCATGGGTCATACTAGTTATTATTATTAGACAAAAATGAACGACGAACTAGGGGAAATGCAGAAAACAGGAAAGTAAATAATAAGAAAGTGTGTTAAATATTTAATTTACAACTTTCAACTTCAGTACATAAATAATTCTTCTACATATAAACATGCTGGTCTGTTGAAAAATTAAAATGTAGCTATGGTGGGATAATTTTTTTAATGTTTTATGAAAAATACAAATATGGAAAAAACATTAATGCAAAAAAATACATTATTTTTCGTTATTCGTAACTTATCTACCATAAAATAGGTAGTAAACTCTAAAAAATACAAATAAGACAAAGCAGAATAAAAATACATTCTTTGGGTCGAGACTAAATATGTAAAAAAATGTAAATTGTTTATTATTCATTTTTATTCCTTTTTTTTGCTTTAGAATCCGGCTGTTTTTTTTTTTTTCAGGTGACGATTGCCCGATTGTGCAAAAATATTGTTTATTTTGGGAAAATATACAAAGGTGTAAAATTAAGGATATTTGTTGCCCTGCAAGAAGAATGGCGGACATCCACGGAAATTTAGGACGGTTGGCAACTCTACTTCTAAAAACTGACGTTGTTAATTAGAATATAACTGAACTGCCAAAATTTCAATTAAGGTTTTCGACGTTTCGTTGCCAAATACTCTTTATAAATATGAACAATTTGGTATTTCTATAGAAACAAAAAGTAAACTATGCCATGTGACATATAAAAGGTAAGTACCATATGACAAATAAAAGGTAAGTACCATATGACATATAAAATGTAAGTACTATATGACAAATAAAAGGTAAGTACCATGGACATATAAGAGGTAAATCTCTTTTAGTTTTCAAATTTACAGCTTTCTCTATTAGTTGGTGAATTTGGCCAGTAGCTACGGCCCCGTGCCCCTCTTCGTGAAACCGAAACCGCACGCCACTGCCAACAATCAATCATATTTTTACCACTGCTACGCTATGTTTATTTTGGGATATTCTCTATCTAGTTATCGATACGATAACAATTTTCCATCCGGCTATCTTAGCAAAATAAACTTTGAGCTCTCAGTTGGCGCACAGCATTCCGATCCGATTCCGAATTTCCTGGCAGAGGACCCGACTGAACGGCGTGTAGTGATTTTTAGGTATAAAAATGTAAAATTTAATGAACATTTCATCCGCGACACTCCTTCTAGCAACACGTGACTTTTGTGTGCTCGCCGACGAGGAGGTTCTAATTTTGGCGCGTACCGTAGCGTCGAGGCGCCCATCGACGCCCGCCGCAATACCGTTCAGTTTACAAATTTGGTGCCCGAGTTTAACACATATTTTCATGTCGCGCCCGCTGTTTTGCAAATAAGAGACTTACTCTGATCCGGAGTGATTCCCCTCGCAATTTCGCAAGAGAGAGGTAAGATTGCATGCAGAAAAAATTAGTTTTCTCTCGAGAGAAGAAATGAGTGGCCGTATTTTAATATTTTTCCTTTCACATTAAATATATTCTGAAAAAATAAACCCTAACAAAAATATAGATAACTTGATTTAAAAGTGAGTGTGCTTAAATGAAAGATAGGCATTTCTTTTTAATTATTTTGATGCAAATTATAAATTCAAATAGTTTATTAAATACAACTTCCAGTAGAACATTACGAATGTTTCGTGATAAATTTTGGTGTAAGATTATATTAACAATCTTTATTTGAATATACAGGGTGTTTTTTTAATATTGCGAAAAACTTTAAGGAGCGATTCCTTGTTACAAAGTAACGGGGAGGGGTCTTCCATATAAACTTATTTCTAAAAATTTTCATCATTGGGGAAGGTTAAAATTCACTTTTTATTTTATTTCTCAAAATTGGAGAAACAGAAGCATGCAATTAAGATGTTACTTTATTTTATCAAAGTCTTTCCTACACCAATTGCAATTTAAAATTCATTTAAAAAATTGGTACTGTTAGAAACTTTCTGCTTCTTGCATTTTTGCAATGAAATGTAAGTACCACTTATAGTTTTTATTTTAAATCATACATTCTTCATTATCTTCTTTTGCCATATTCTTTTCTGTTCTCAAATAATTGTTCAAGGATTTGCGAAAATAATACATTGTCTCAACGCAGTTGTCGTTGTGCATCTCTGTCATTCAATACAACAGGTGTTTCTATGTACAACTCATGGTCTTTAAAATTTTAAATTACACAAATAGTGAATTGTGCGATATTCACCTCGTTGTTGGTGTAACTAACTGTAACACATTAGCAGCCAGGCGGTTTTATAGAACGTTATTCCGCATCATACGATATTTAGTCGTTTTCGTCAGTGTCTTAGTAAAATCTAAAGTTTTATAAAACGTACCATTGCAAATGGGCACCCTCCCGATACTCCTCAAATGGAAGAACAGAAGCTTAACGAAAACAAACACAGACCTATAACCTATAATAAGCATTAGGAAGATTGCTCATACCTTAAATATTAACCTCTCAATATTTTGGGGAATTCTTAAAGATTATCTTTTGTATTTCTATCATATTCTGCATTTTAACCCCATGATTTTTTAGTATAATGGCTCTGTGTCGATGGATGTAAGAAATAATCTTCTATTCTTTGAACAAATACCCTTTAGCGATGAGGCTAACTTCATTGTGAATACCACAATGAGTTTTTGTTTATGAAAACTCACATGAGGTGTCAAAAAAAGTCGTCATCAACTCTAGTTTTCCTTTGAACATTTTTTCCCCGGGCAAGTTGATTGAAAAAATTTATAGCAGATTCCCTGAAAACCATTTGCATGAAGAAGTCAGTAACTTGTTAAGACAAATGTTGCTTATACACTAACCTTGGCTTCCACGATTCCTAGACTTAAGCCCTTTCGATCTCTTTCCTCGAAGACATCTTAAACATTTGGTTTGTACGATTCCAATTAAAAATTTAGAGAAATTGAGGAATTACATATCGCGTCTTTGGAACAATTCGACAAACTTCAGGTATTTTTCAAAATGTCGTCAACTATTGCATTGCGAAGTCAGAAATGATGTTGAGGTTTTTGTAAAATACGTTTCCAAAGTATTTTCTGAAGAAATTGTAAAAAATGAAACACATTTTACGTTTCACTAAAAACGTGAAAAAATGTTGGACAGAAAGTGAGTTAAAAAATTAATATACAATGTATACAGGTATATTTCATTTTTTATGAACATACGAACCAATAATTGATTAAAATTAATTAGAGACTGGTTATTGAAAGCCTGATCCTGAAATACCATCATCAAAATTGCTCGAGATTTAGATGATTGCATATCTAAAAAAAACTTATGGGGAATCTTGAAATAGATAGCGAATCTTGTAAATCAAATAAGCTCATTAAAAAAATATTATTTGTGATGCAATCCAATATGAGTAGTACTTACTACATATAGGTCAATAAGTTTGTAGCCTGCAAAGAAAGACTGATATTCGCAATTCGTTTCTTTAAACAGATGTTAATTTTTAAATGGCGTAACAAAAGGCTACAATATCTCTTCTACACCAATTAGGTATCAGTTTCTAGATATCATTCAGAACACAACAAAATCTTGAAGGATATATTTATATTTGCTTGTAATTCTATATAGAGCACCCACTCTATATATGCCTTCATTCGGTGATAGTTTTTTGAGCAAGGGATTAGTTATAAAGGAAGCCACGGCAAACTATCAGTAAATTATTAAAAACCACATGGCTCCTCTTAAAATACTTTGTAAATTATTCCACGGTTCAAATCATAGTTTAAATTTAACTATGCATAACATTTGCTCTAAAAAAGTTAGTTGAAAGAAGAAATAAATAAACAATTAGTAACAGCAAAGGAAATAACTATAGTTCTGTTTTGCCATTTTTGGAACGTTTTCAGTTTAAAAACAGTGTTATTTTTATTTAACGTTAATGTGAATGTTAAATTAAATTTATTTATATTTCAAAAAGGATATTCCTTAGTAATATATTATATATCTTTTATAATCAATATAATTAAGATTTTTTTAAATAACGCAGATTTTCATAAAATAACCTTGTACATAGAAAGGATAATCTGAAAAAGTTTATACTAAAATCTAATAATAGTTAATGTAGGTGCGATGGCCGATTGCCAAATTAAGACATTTACACTTTTCAACATTAATAAATCGCTTGCAACGTACAAAATATAAAATTTCAAGTAGAAATATTTTTAACATCAATGTAATGTATTTTATCTTTTTAATTATTTTTGTTTCACCTTGTTTTTAAATACAAAATTAGAGAATAAATGTCACATATATCACTAAAAAATCATGCTTGAAATTTTCAAACTACTGTCCACACCTCCCCAAAATAAAAAAATATAGTTACCTAACGTTACAGAATCGATTAAATATTCATATACATATTAGTATTTTAAAAGTGTCTGTATTTACTTATCCTAAATAATATATTTTTTATATATTTATTGTTTTCTAAAACGTTTCAAGATCACCACTGCTGCTCAAAGAATGTGTTGGCAGAAAACCAACCAATGTGAAAAATGTAATTGGAAAAATGCCAATGTGCAGATAAATTGTCAAATTTTAATAGTGTCATCAAAATCAGTGATAACAGAATATAAAATATTTTTCTAATACATATAATAATGACCGATATCTAAAGCAGAAATTCTTTCATTAGTTTTTTTAAATACAATTTTCTAATATTTATACCACCCCTCATTTATTTCCACCCCTCAATCTAATCGCAAGGATTTGCCCAGAAGTCGTAGACTTGTGCGGGAGAGGGGGCGGCATATTATTATTCAGTAGGCCGCATGTGCGCCCAGGAACGACTTACGTTGGTAAGCCAACCACCATTCAGTGCAGGGATGAGGGACACCTCATTAATTAGGAGGATAGTCAATTTCTTACATTGACCCAAGCGAACGTTCTTCCGCCCTCTACCTCTCTACGAATGTAGCTACAGTCTTACAGCGCGGGGATCGAACCCGCGACTTTGGCATTCATCGATTCAAGTACTGACACCTCTAACCGCTCGGCCACCGACCGAATACCGTTATTTATAAAACACCTTATATGTCCTGGCACATAATCACCTCTTCTGTAAACATTCCTTCAACGAAATAAAAGGTATTCGTTATAGCAAAAACACCTTCTGAATAGGTCTGGAAACTTGGCGGTATGTGAGTATATATTTCACATCCATCAATCCCATTGCACTTCTGTCCAATAATATTTACGCCAGCTCCACATCGTTACGACTTTCGCTTCGTAATAAGTCCTAAACGATCCTAAGCAAATGGTAGAGGTTAATAGCTTCCGTTAAAAATATCTTCCCAAACAAATACAACTAGCATACCAAGGTCCGTAAAGTTCTCCGCTTTGCACTTGATGGGTTTATTTTTAGTTATAAATATTCCCGAAGCGATTTTGATCGACGGTAGAGGTGCTTTTTTATTTCCGTCTTATATCTGGCACCGTCTGATTCGATGATGGAATTAAGCGAATGTATACTACTAAATATTGAACAGGACAGTAAATGTCCTTTAAAACAAAAGATGTTGCCCTTTGAGTATCGATACCCAGTTCATACAAAGCATTACTTATCCCCGTTTATTTGCAAAAGCTATTGTGTTGACGTCTCTCGATGAAGTAGCGAAAAGGGAAGTCTTAAATTAGAAATTCACAGATAAAATCACCTGTGTTTCAATTCGAGAACGTTGAATAGAAGGTTCCAATACATCTGCTACGCGGTCTAGATTTATTTCACGCAATTTCCACCTGTCTAGTTTCATGAAAGCAAAATGAATATCTGACATAACAATAAAATAATCCAAATTGCAAAACAAGTCCTCGATTACAAACTTAATATTTCTGAAGGCAAGAAGTGTATGAGTTAGGAGAAATATGTGTTCAGAATATAGCTAAGATGTAATTTGGAGATAGATACAGCTGTGGACAAAAAAAGGTTTCCAAAACCTTCCAAAATATCTAAAAGGGTTCATATGAGCAGTTTATATTCTTCTTCTTCTCCCTGGAATATTATTTTAAATATTAAATATGCATGTTTTCATACTTATTTCTATGGTTTAAGCAAAACTTTCCAAAGGGAAACAATTGCTGAATTTCATTCATTCACTGGATGAGTAATGTTTTCTCAAAACCGTTTAACAATTTAAATATAGTCCGACAAAAGTTTGTAAGTTAGATTATTATTTAATTTTTTTTTGGGTATAAGCCAAAATAATAAATTCAAAGGAAATGTAAAAAAATAAACTTTTTCGCCTACTGTTTAGCACAACTTAAACATAAACAACATTTGCGTATTGCATTCGCATATTTTTAGTTTACAGTGCGAAAATATCAGTTTGCTACACGGATGTAACTTTTTATATACAGTGTGTCCCCAGGATGG